GATCATGCGGGTGGCCCTCCTCTGGACCCTCTCCATGTTGTCCACATCCCTCCTCAAGTGCAGCACCCAGAACTGGACGCAGTACTCCAACTGCGGCCTGACCAGTGTTGCATAGAGGGGGAGGATCACCTCCTTGGACCTGCCTGAGATGCATCTGTGGATGCATGACAAGGTGCGGTTAGCCTTACTGACCACGTCCCCACACTGTTGGCCCATGTTCATTTTGGCATCAATAATGACTCCAAGATCCTTTTCTGCCTCTGCACTGCTGAGAAGGGAGTTTCCCAGCCTGCAGATGTGCTGCTGGTTCTTCCTCCCCAGGTGCAGCACCTTGCACTTGTCAGTGTTGAAACCCATCCTGTTCTCATCCGCCCACCCCTGTAACCTGTCCAGGTCTGATTGCAGCCTATTCCTCCCTTCTAGCAAGCCCACTTCTCCCCACATCTTAGTGTCATCTGCGAATTTGAACAGGGTGCTTTTTACCCCCTCGCCCAAGTCACTGATGAAGATGTTGAACAGTGTGGACCCAAGCCCTGGGGGGGCCCCACTGCCCATGACCCTCCAGGTGGAAAATGACCCACCGCTCTCTGGGTGTGGCCCTCCAGCCAACTAGTGACCCATCTGACTGTGTAGGTAGCAATGCCACAGTCTCCCTAGTTTTTTAATGAGAATGGGGTGAGAGACAGTGTCGAAGGCCTTCCTAAAGTCCAGAAAGACTATGTCCACCGTGACACCGGCATCCAAGGATTTTGTGACCTGGTCACAGAAGACCACCAGGTTGCTCTGACAGGACCTGCCTCTAATGAACCCGTGTTGGTTGCCCCAAGCATAATCTTCCCTGCTGGCCCCTTGCGGACATGCGCCAGGATAATTCTCTCAAAAAGCTTCCCCTGGACCGAGGTAAGACTGACAGGCCTATAGTTTCCTGGGTCCTCCTTCCTCCCTTTTTTGAAAATGGGAACCACGTTGGCCCTTTTCCAGTCCTCTGGCACATCACCAGAGCACCACGAGTGCTCATAAAGCCATGCCAGGGGTCCTACAATGACCTCTGCTAATTCCCTCAGCACTCTGGGGTGGAGATCATCAGGACCTGCTGATTTAAATATGTCCAGTCCCTCCAGCAGTTCCCTGACTAGGTCCTCTCTGACCCTAGGCCTGGGTGCGCCTCCTCTGGGGCCTATGGGGGTCCCAGTGGGGGGGATGGCCCGATCCCTGCTCAGAAAAACGGAGGCAAAGAAATTGTTAAATTAGGTTAGCTTTGCTGTCTGGTGCGATGACCAGATTTCCTAGCATGTCCTGCAGAGGCCCTATGTTACCCGGTACCTTCTTTTTACCCCCTATGTATTTAAAAGACTTCTTGTTGTCCTTGATCTGGGTAGCTAGTCTCAGTTCCATCTCTGCCTTGGCCTTCCTGACCGCCCCCCTCCAGTCTCGAGCAACAGAGGTATAGTCCTCCCTGGTGATGGCCCCTCCTTTCCATTGGGTGTATGCCTCCTTTTTAGCTAGGAGACGTTCCCGGATACTTTTGATGAGCCATGGGGGCTTTTGCATCCTCTTGCCCCCTTCGATCCATGTTGGGATTACCTCCCTTTGGGCTTGGAGGATCGTCTCCTTAAGGAACAACCACTCTTCTTGGACACCCAACTCCCCTCCCCACCAGAACCTCAGTGTCTCTCCAACTAGTCTCCTTACCTCATTGAAATCCACCTTCCTGAAGTCCAGGGCTGCTGCCTTGCTGCAGGCCTTTGCCACCTTGCACTGGATGGTGAATTCCAGAAGGTGATGGTCGCTGTCGCCCAGGTGGTCGAGCACCCGTAGACCCCTCACCAGGTCGTCGCCCATGGCCAGGACCAGATCCAACAAGGCATCTCCCCTGGTGGGGCTGTGCACCTCCTGGGTTAGATGAAGGTCCTGTATCTTGGCTAGGAACCTATGTGAGCGGTCAGACCTGGCCGACTGCTCTTCCCAGCAGATGTCTGGAAAGTTTAGGTCACCCATGATGACCACGTCCTTTGACCTAACTGCTTCTGTGAGCTGACTGAAGAATTCCCGTTCTAGCTCTTCCCCTTGGTTGGGTGGTCTGTAGTAGATCCCCACCGTTAAGTCACTTTCCCCTCGACCTCCTAGTATTCTAACCCAGAGCACTTCAGTGTGCCCCTCCTCTGACCCAGTGCTACTCACTGAGGATGTGTATTTCTCCTGGATTTATTGAATGAATCCAGGAATGAATATGTTCTTATTAAGCAGAAATATCTTATTGATTTGTGCTCAGATGTATATGAAGTAAAATAAAATAGAGCCCAGGCAGTACTCTGGCATCATTGACAGGTTTTGTTGGGTTTTTTTTTAATAAACTCTAGATTCCTTACATTGCCCTGATTTAGCAGCAGTAGCTGGCATTTGCTAAGTCAGTTCCCTGAGAGATGTTCCCAGCAAAGCAGCTATCACAAATAAGCCCATCTCGACTGAATGGAGTAACACGGCCTCTATATAGTACCTCTCCACAGCACCCGTGTGAACTGGGGAAGTATTTTCTCTCCTTTCACAATACAGAAGCCTGTGGCAGAGGTGGAAATTCCACACATGTTTCCCAAGCCCCAGTCACTGCAGTGTTTCAGTCACAATATACACTCGCCTGTAAAATATTTTCCTGCCTAGATTAAATGCTGCTTCAGAAGCAGCCTTTCAGTTCGGCTCCCATTTGTTCACCATTGGTTTTCTCTCTCTCATTTTTTTCTACTATCATTCAGACTTGCCAAGATCTACTGGCCTCCATCTCCCTTTCATAGTCTCCATCTCCTAGCCAGCTCTTTCTCTTCAGGTGATAAAGTCCTGCTCAGTAGAACAGAGTTATGAGCCATTTCCACTCCAATGTATCTCCCTACTGCAGTGACTAAGATGACCCCAGAGCATTGTAGACATACCCATGTTAGCTTTAAACTAGTGATCTTGGGTGCTGTCACCAGTCTACAGCAGTATGGACTGTGTGACTGCAAAACTTGCCTGAGGAGTGGAGTTAGATGCTCATGGGTTTAACCCACACTTGGTTCTGGGCTATTGTAGCCAGACCACTAGCAGCACCTTATTTAGGCATTGCCTGATTTTTTTGTATGGTTCCAATAAAAAGAAGAATCATGAATCAAGAATCACGATGACCTGGTGAGGGGGCTGCGGGTGCTTGACCCCCTGGGTGACAGTGACCACTGCCTGCTGGTATTCACCATTCAGCGCAAGGTGGCAAAAGCAAGCAGTCAGGCTGTGGCCCTAGATTTTAGGAGGGCAAACTTCAATAAGCTAAGGAGGATAGTTGGAGAAGCGCTGAAGTCTCAGAGGGGAGGAGAGCCGGGTGTTCAAGGGGAGTGGTCGCTCCTTAAGGAGACGATCCTCCAAGCCCAAAAGAAGGTAATCCCGACAAGGATCAAAGCGGGCAGGAGAGCATACAAGCCTCCATGGCTCACCAAAAGCATCCGGGAAAGTCTCCTTGCTAAAAAGGAGGCTTACTCCCAATGGAAAGGAGGGGTCATCACCAAGGAGGACTATTCAGCAGTTGCTCGGGGGTGTAGCGGGGTAGTTAGGAAGGCCAAGGCAGAGATGGAACTGGGACTAGCTTCCCGGATTAAGGACAACAAGAAGTCCTTTTTTAACTACATAGGGAGTAAAAAGAAGGCCCCAGGTAATGTGGGGCCCTTGCAGGACAAGACGGGGAATCTGGTTGTCACACCAGACGACAAAGCCAACATATTTAATGATTTCTTTGCCTCTGTCTTCCTCAGTAAGGACCAGAACTGCCACCTCCCTGCTAGGCCCCCATCGGGCCCCGAGGGAGGCACACCTGAGCCCAGGGTAAGTGAGGATCTAGTTAGGGAGCTGCGGGAGGGGCTGGACTTTTTTAAGTCAGCCGGTCCGGATGATCTCCACCCTAGAGTTCTAAAGGAACTGGCCGGGGTCATTGCGAGTCCCCTGGCGCAGCTTTATGAGCACTCGTGGTGCTCTGGAGAGGTGCCGGAGGACTGGAAGAGGGCCAACGTGGTTCCCATCTTCAAAAAGGGGAGGAAGGAGGACCCGGGAAACTATAGGCCAGTCAGTCTTACCTCGATCCTGGGCAAGCTGTTCAAGAAAATTATTCTGGCACACATCCAGGAGGGGCCAGCAGGAAAATGCATGCTCAGGGGCAACCAGCACGGGTTCATCAGCGGCAGGTCATGTCAGACCAACCTGGTGGCCTTCTACGATCAGGTCACTAAATCATTGGATGCAGGGGTAGCAGTGGATAT